AACGCTAAAGTATAACAAAGCAACGCAAAAAACAAAAAAAACAAAAAAATGAGGGCTCCCTACAAAACAAAGGGAGGCAGCATTAAGTGTTTTGTTTTTTCATAGTGAGCTCTGGAGCAACCTGCAGAAACCTCTGGCTTCTTTAAATCAAACTCAGAACATGATGAATCCTCTCTGCAGTTTTCACTCAAAGGCTAAAGATTGATTTACCTTTGTTCTTGACTTGCTTTAGCTTTTTAGCAATTTTAAATTTAGTTTGAAATATTTCTTTAATATGTCATGCTTAGTTTTTATTTTCATTCATATATTTCTTGTTTTCAATCATTTTTCTCCTCCGGTCATTCCCCTTCCTGTGAGACAGTGGAAATTACAGTGTGCGTGCGTGCGTGCGTGCGTGCGTGTGTGTGTGAATAAACTCGCCTTGCCTTGTATACTGTAAGCAAATTGTCATAAGTGAGCTCAGAGTAAAGCTCATGTTGTTGAACATCTTGTTTGGTACAAGATAGGAATCCTGTAAATAAGATGATAAACAATTCAAGGAAGGAGGCAGCATTTTGTTTTGGTTGCTTGCTTTGTTTTTTTTAGAAGTGTTTAGAAGACATAATGAAGCACAACCACTGTACAGACATTTACTGTAGATATACAGTAACTGCTTTTAGAGGTTACAATCCCACAGGTACTCGAGTCTGAAAAGCATTATATTTTACAAGCAAACTGTTTTATAACCTCTGGGGTTTGCATCATGTGACATCATCCTGAGGCTGTGCAAAAATCCTATTTGATGACAATATTTTTTTATATATATTAAATCACAAAAATAGTCAATATTCAATATTTTTGGTGAATTATTCCAGTTTAATTTGTCAGGATGGACAGTCTTTTAAATGATAGCTTTTTGTAAAGACAAACACGATTTTTAATATACCTTTCTCTGCATTTTTTTTTTTTTGGTAACTCTTTGTCTAAAACATTTACATTTTAAAGGTAAGTATCATCAGAGCTAACCTGTACGATTTAAAGATGAGACAGACTGTTAGGTCCTCATTTGCATCAACGCAGACAGAGGATCCTGTTGGCCCAGAGTGCTAAAATTACACCTCTGTCTCTCTGTGAAAGGTTACTCGTTAATGATTATCTCCTCGATCGACCAAAATCAGTGTGTCTGACTGAGTATGTGCAAGCAAGATCCTCCATAATCATCAATCAGTCATTTAACAGTCAGCCCACACAGAGGGATAAGATGATACGTCATTAATCCCTGTGGGGATGTTATGTTTTGAAATAAATCCTGAGAGGAAGTCGGCGTACCATCCTGCACTGAGCGACGTCTGTGGCAAAAATATCTGCTGAACAGATGGTTTTAACCAAGATTGATTTTTTTTATTTATTTATTTTATGTATTTACACTTATTTCACCAAGAAAATTCGATTGATATTTAAAATTTCTCTTTCAAGAGAATCCTAGCAAAGACTGGCAGCAGCTCGAAGAGTTTATTTCATTTCAGCTCAAAGGGTTTTATGCTTTACAAACTAATTGCAAAATAATATTCTAGACACTCCTGTTTCTGATTAATAAAGCCTATTAGAAGCTATTAAGGCTCATAAGGAATCAGTTGTTTCAACAACTGAGATTATATGAAACCTTTTTTTTTATCACAAATCTCGTGTTTGAGAACTTAAATGTGCTTCATAAGACAAATGGATTAATCATTTAAGTCCTGTTATTAAAGACTGGAGTGTTTGGTTGCTGTGGGAATTGTAATAAGGCTCATCTATGTGTTTACACATCTATAATCACAAGAAATAATTATCTCTATAACACTTTGCACAGATATACACTTGCCATTTTCTCTTCTATTGGATAAATGATGTAATCAGTGGCAGCAGCTTCTGTTTTTGCATCATTTCCTGTCTTTGCTGAACAGCTCTAAAGTCAGAAAAGAGTGAGATATCAAGGCTTGATGGGATGCTTGGGATTTGTTCAAACTAGCTTTTACAATCAATCAAACATATTGATCAAACTTCAGTTTGATTTCCCTCAGAGGCATGTTTTCAGCCTTTTGCAGTGATAGGCGACAGATTGTTACTCTGCTGGTGTGCCATCACACTTCCCAAATGTCATCCTTGTAGCACTGAAGAGAGACATTTCAAACTGCTTGTCTTCAAAGGTTTCTACAAAGTTTTCATTAGAAAATTATAGGAAAATCAAAGAAAACATTTTACTCTCACAGAAAATGTTGATAGTTTCACCAGTTGTACACACACATCCTTATACTTCTATGCAAACTGAGGACTTTCCTTTGACTTCCATAGTGTCTGTATTTATGCCAAACCCAAGCACTTTCCTCTCTCCACTTTCCACAAATGACCTCCCTTTGTTGCTGCATTTTGTGAAAGTGGTCCTCTATGTGTTGCATATACAAGTACGCACACGCACGCACGTGCGCCCCTGCAGACACACGCACACACACACAAAATATGAAGGAAAACCGTCAGTAAGAAGGGTCTTAGTTCAAGGATAATTTTATCATTTATGCTGCATGTGTCTTATGCGTCTGCAGTGGTCAAAAGCATTTGTGCAATCAGCATTAGGAAATTGATTTTTAGCAAACAAAACTGAAAAAAAAAATAACACAAGTATAAGTATCAAGAATATAGAACTCAATCTGGAAGGGAATGTAGCTGCAATGAACAGGGGCCTCCAAATTGAATTCTGCCTACAGCCTCATGCAAACTTCAACTAGTTTCAACAAGATTCAGTCAGAAAGCCACTGTATTTATTACATATTATGAGACTTTTTTTTATTATTAAAAAGTGAAAGTATTTGTAAAATCAAACAATTTTCCATACACAACTTGTTCCCCTCCCCGTGCAGACGTGCAACAAGGTAAAATCTATATTCATGTTTTACCAAACTTTTAAGAAGACTGTTTAAGAACCCTGTTTTAAAAACAGAACGTGGCATTTAATATGAGGAGTTTTCCATGACTTTTCTGGCTTCAAATATATGAAACGAGCCCTCTATAAATATTATTAACATGGCTGTTGCAGCCCTTTGGCTTTAGAAGCATTTAGCTTCATTACTGAAGAAGGCCAGTCTATTGGCTTCTCTTTCCAGCAAGTTATATCAGTCGTCTCATAAGTTCTACAGACTCAGAATAATTCTGGGCATGAATTATGACGTATTGGTAAGTAGGCTGCTTGTTTGACCACTTTTTACATTTCTTGGAGTCTCAACCGTTCAGTTCTGTTCTTGTTTTAGGACAAATAAACAGACAGGGAATCTGATTATTTTTGTTGTTCAGATCAAACCACTTTTAAGTGACTCTTTTTCCATCCAATGCATTACTTCCCCAATATTTTTAAAAACTGGTTTTGTGTTAAAAAAAAATCAAAAAAAAATCTTGAAGAAGCAATGAATTTACCGTTCAAATGATGCAAGAGACATGTATTTCCTGCTCCATTTATAATTGCGATAAATGCTTGATGCTAATGGAAATAATGAAATTATCCTTTGTGGCCGACTTCAGGGTTTTTACTGCTCCCCCAAAATAAACTTTCTGGAGGCACTCCAGCAGATACCTCTTTTGCTTGCTTTTATTTTACCACAGACCTTACCTTACAAGTCTCTGTGGTTAATTTAGAGTTACTCGCTGATTAATTACGGTACTGCACTTTCAGCTAAATTAGTGGTAGAAAATGCTTAATCACTCTAAATGTGGCAAATACATCAATTATTAACAGTGAACATCCATAGTTGAAATGAGAAATATCTTATCTCGTCGGCAAATAGCATTCATCTTTACAGTGCTTTGCAAAAGTATTCAAACCACTTTTCAGATTTAGTCACATTTAAATTATGAACTTCAGTGTATTGTAGTGAGATTTTGTGTGACAGACCAACACACACACAAAAAAACACCTAATGAAATGGAAAGAAAATTATACATGGTTTAAAGATGTTTTAAAAATTTTAAATTTGAAAAGTGTGACGTCTGCTTGTTTCCAGGACCCTTTAATATAATACTCTTAAATAAAACAAATTTCTTCAGAAGCTATCAAATCAGCGAAGTTAGTCAGTCTTTGTGTAATTTAAAGACAGCTGTTCCGAGAAGGACTTAGTGAACAAAGAATCACAAACACCAAGAAACATAGCTGACATGTTAGGGAGAAAGTTGTGGAAAAGTCTGAAGCTAAATTAGGTTATAAAAGATCATTTCAAGATTTTTCAGAGGATTGTTTAATATCTATCATCTAAACATGCAAAGAGTACAACACAGCTGCAACTCTAACAAGACACGGAGCAAGCTGCGCAAGGAGAGCATTAGTGATGGAAGAATACCTCACATTGTCTTGGAGATGCCATTACCAAGGTGTGGCATAGTGGTGGCAGGGTCATGCTATGGGACAGGCAAAGTACTCAGTGTTGATGGAAAGATGCAGGAAGCTAAGTAAATAAGAATGCTGGTAGAAAACTTGTTAGAGGCAGCAAAATGTTTGAGGCTGGGGTAGATGTTCACCTTCAAGCAGGAAAATGCCTGAAGGAAAATAAGGACAAATTATTAAAAATTAAAACAAGACTTTTTTTTTTCAGACTATTTTCATCTAATCTAATCAAACTAACCATATGGTATTTTTCAAGGAGTAGTGGAGGGGGAAAAAAGCCCTGTCTATAGGAGGAAAGCTTTAATTGATGCAAAACGTGTTTCTACTCTGGGCAGTGCAGAAAAGTCACGTACTACACAGTTTACAGATTTTTTTTGTAGGGCTCGGGTTCAAAAGGAAACTACGTGTCTGTCTACCTTACACAGTCCTAAAAACGCTCTGCAGTTTGTCGTTGATACTTGACACAGAAAATGTTTAAACAGGTCTGCAAAAAAAGAAAAAATTACGAGTCTGGAGAAACACAACACACGTATACAGCTTTGGAAGGCTTCAATAATCGAAGAGATGCTGGATAAAAATGCGTTTAAGAAGCAATAATAAATCTTCAACCTACCTAACGGCAGAAAGAGGAAGAAAGGCAGCCAGCAGAGGATGAACATTCCGACCACGATGGCCAGAGTTTTGGCAGCCTTTTTCTCCCGGGAGAACTTCATGAGCCGCACAGACAGGGAACTTCTGAACGGATGAGTCTTACTGTTCTTGGAGCTGGCAGAGCGCGCGTCCTCCAGCACGCTGCGGCAGTGGATCCGCAGCACAACTTCTGCGGACTTGTTTCTCTCCCTTTTGACTCCCGCTTCCAGACTCTTGGTGGTCCTGCGGGCCACTATGTACACCTGAAAATACATGATCAGGATGACCATGAGCGGGAGGTAAAAGGAGAAGAGGGAGGAGAAGAGCGCGTAGCCCGGCTCCTCTGTGATCCCGCACACGGTCTCGTGCTCGGGCGGAGGTTCCTTCCATCCCAGGAGGGGACCCACGGAGATCACCGTGGAGGACACCCACACAAGCACCAGAATAGCAACTGCCCTCCTCTCGGTCATAATGCTCGGGTATTTCAGGCAGTATTTTACTCCGATGTACCGGTCTATGGAGATGATGCAGAGGCTTAGGATGGAGGCGGTGCAGCAGAGCACATCCACAGCTGCCCAGATGTTGCAGAAAACCCGGCCGAACACCCAGCATCCCAGCACCTCCAGGGATGCGGAGAAGGGCAGCACGATGATGCTCAGCAGCAGGTCTGCCATTGCCAAGTTGACGATGAAGAAGTTTGTGATGTTCTGCAGGTGTTTGTTGCACACTACGGACAGGATGACCAAAATATTCCCGACGATGGCCACCAGAATGAAAACGGCGAGGAAGATCCCGGTGCCGACGACCTGCGGGTCCATGGTGAAGTTTCCGCATTTTGTGATGTTGTCGTCGGGAAAGATGCGCTCCAGAGCGGACACGTTGAACGTTTCAAAATACAGCCCATAGTTGCTTTCATTCCTCAAGTTAGAGTCAGTCATTTTTCGCCATAAAGAGAAGTTTAGTGTAAGTTTTCTCATGAAAACATCATTGTCACTCCATGCTGCATTTGACGTAAGAGCACCATACACACAGACCCAACACTTCCCCCCACCCCTCCCCCCCAAAAAAATGCTTCTTCAGAAAACAAAACAAAAAAATCAAATCACATTTTCTGAAAAATGATATTGGAGTTCTTCTGTGGTGTATTCAAGAAAAGAAGAAACTGAGTGTGCACTTAGGTCCATTTCAGCTTTCTTCATCCTAGCGATGGTTTCCCCACTGGTGGCATCCTCTTAACTGAGTGAGAGCTGGTACAGCGCGTCTGAACCTGCGGCTCCACCCACACCACGACTCCCGGTACAGTCTTCACAAGAGAGCACAGATTTATATACACGTTCACCGAGATCTGGGCTTTGTGAGTGATATACCTCCGAATGTCTTTACTTTATGCACTGCAAAAATTGAATTCTGGAGAGTAGTAAATTTTAGCTGTTAAAATAATTTGAACTTTAACCAACCATTTAGCCCATTTGACAATGGTGTTTGGTAGTTGCTGAACAACAAATACGATTTTTAGGGGGGCAATAAATCTTAGCTAAACATTTCGATTCTGCATTCAGTTTTTATGCTCCACAAATCTGGAAAAAAAAACTTACACTACAAAGATGCTGAAACACCAAGTTTATTGGAATTACGCCTAAAAACCCACCTGTTTAGATTTGCCTTTGATTAGTCATACCTGGAGCACTGATTAATTCTAGTCATCATAACAATATTTAATGGTGATTGCGCTTTATGATGGTATTTGTTCAAATGTAATGGTTGCTGCTGTTTTTGCCGTTCCAAACATAATTAGGTACTGCATTATGGTGTTATTATGTAAAACACTTTTAACTGGCTTGTTGCTGAAATGTGCTCCAAAATTCGCTGCTTCAGGCAGATTGCTTACTGCAGCCCTCATTTTAAACACCAGATGGCGCGGCAGAGGAAATTTGCTTGCATTCATCAATTGGTGGCAGAAGACGCTGTAACTAGACTTTGACCCTCTGACTGTTACCTTTAGCAACAGTTTTTTTTAATATAAATATTAACTTTCTGTGTAAATTCAACAATGTGTATGCCTGTAAAAACCCAGTCCTGCTGCTTTTTCTGTTTGGCATGTTTTGTAAGGTGCGCATGGGACAAATTACAGTGCACAACCATCCAAAATGCATGGCCAAACTTCTTTCCCAACATGGTCTGCGCTGGCTTCTCTTGCAAACACAATAACAGCAACCATGAATTACCCATGAGGCAGTCTTCACCAGTGACAGATACATCTTTGCCCTGTCAGAAAAAAGGGTTAAGATGCTACTTTGCTGGCATACATTTGTCATAATGTGTTTGGTTGAGGCAAAGCTAAGGTGCAGACATCTGCTTTAAAAAAGCCTTTTAGAGAGTTTCATTAAAAGAAAACTTACAGGTCTTTGCACATTGTAAACAGAACATGGAATATGGCGCGTGAAAAAGCATGGAAGTGAACGAATACAGTGAAGAACAACGAAAACTCAGCAGCTTTAATACTGAGATATGGGTGGAAATTGACAAAGAACCAAATGAACCAAAGCCTTGGCAGAGAGAAAGCAGAAAAACTGAAGGAGGGAGATTGTTAACCCAGAAGGAGATTAACTTTGACTCCAAGGATCTAGAAAACAACAGGAAAAGGCCTGACAACCACAAAATATACAAGAAACAGAGTGCAGGAATTAATTAACCAACCAAAAATAATAGTATGACCTAGTATGGCAACATCTTGAATAAAAGAAGAGAAAAGAACAGATTATGACAAGGCCTACAGAATATAAGCCACAAAAACAAATAAAAAACAAAACCAGTTATTTAAGTTCATTTTAGCTGTTAAATAATTAGTATTCCGAAATATGTTTTAATCTTATCCAGATAAAATGCACGCACAGTGTTAGATGAACCAACTGAATTGATTAAATCATGATAGCTTTTTTTTAGTCTAGGGTGAGCTACAGTTCACCTTAAACTGCAGCGCAGCGCTCATTGGATAGCTGGGACCACAGCCATCCAATGAAAGCACAATGCTACTCAAAGTCTTTTAACTGACTAATAAAAATTTAAACTGAGAATAAAAATAAATAAATAAATAAATAAAATTTAAATCATTAAGTTAAAGTAAATCAGCATGAAATCTACATCTAGTAAGCGCAATGTGTGAAGTACAAGGGCCTTTGAGAAGTTGCATAATTATCCATCAAACTTTTAGTTTCTTAATGCAAAAACTATGTGAACAAATCTTACTGAGTCTAGAGTGAAACACTGTTAACTTCCTGCACATATGTGTCAGAGCAACATCATTTAGTCTATATAAACTAACCAACAAGTCTGTGCTTACAAGTATGTTGTAATGTGAGTCGCCCAAGCTGTGAAGTTTCCCAGACATAGTAGCTGTCATCTCCTGGGCCTGAGGGCGCTTTGAAAGGAGGACAGGCCTGTCCAAACCTCCAGGGAGCCTGCAAGGAAAAGGTCAAGAGACAGAGTCACCGAGACGATAAACAAGTTGTTGGAAAACAAAAGGCCCAATGTACCTCTCTATTTGGTGTAGCAACACAGATTGCCTCTGAGGCGAAGTCATGGTGCATCTTTAGAAAGGATGAATTACCAAAACACAAAGACACCACAATGTACACAGCACTCTATGACACTACCAGTCTACAGTGGTGTTTTTCTGAAGTTTATTCCATACAAATGTCTTACTACTGCTGAGACCGAAACAGTAAATATATTCTTCCGACAGTTTATTGCTGAATTGGCTCTGTAGCCACCTACCTGCAGCGGCAACCCTGCTATTTCTGCACATAACAAGCAGTTCTCCAAATAATCAATCCGTTGCTCTCTTAGGGAAATGTATTACTGAGAGTAACAAAGACTTTTGTGTCATTTTTGGAAGTCACAGCCTTTAATAATCCTAAGTATGTTAAGATTAAGAAGGATGAAATATTTTCTTTCTAATTATTTCTCATTAAAAAACGTAAGTCAAAAACTTGTCATGCACTGAGTGAGGTGAAGGTTGATGTCAGGTCATGTGCCGAGGCTTTGCTACAATTTTAATGCTTTTTTTTTTCCATTTTAGAGAATATGGATGGAGGGATGGATGTACGGACGGACGGACGGACGGACGGACGGACGGATGGATGGATGGCCACAAGGGAGCTTTTGATCTATCTCGGTAATTGCTGTTATGCTGATTGACTCAAAGCTCCTCTACCATCTAACAATATTCTACCTAAACTAAAAGCTTACAATATTCTCTGACAATAGCAGTTTTGAAAAAAAAAATATACCTTTAATTTATGAATAAAAATAGTCTTCGACAAACAACCTTGCTCTGTTAGACTTTTAAGGTCATTTTTAGATCTTTCTCAGAAAATGTCTTGCCTTCCACAAATTTCTCAAGCAAAAATTAACCCCCCATCTGAGGTCATTTCATTGCCAGTTCTCAGGTTCATTCAAACCACCACCTAGTGTTAATGAAGGTCTATCAAATTATATCTGCATCATCCAATTTGGTTGAAATGCATGTTAGACTTACAAATGAGACAGACCAATGTGAAACGTCTTTAGTGAGGATTCTGTCCTCCAGCGGGGGTTTTAAATTGTCATGTTGCCTTCATGAAAGAATCTAGCTTTAATTTTTACATCAGTATTTTTGTCTTAGGCGGGTAGCTTTTCTCTTTCAAATCATTGTGAGTCATTCCAGTGGTCTGACTAAATCATCCTTACTGAATTTTTTTGAAAACAGTTCAAATTGTTTCCAGCTCAACTTCTATTTATAAGATCAAATTTGCAGCTATGTGGAAAACTCTGCTTGAGTTTATTCATTTCCGTTACGAGGAAATGACTCCAGAAAATCTTTCCAATCTTCTTCCTGCTGCTGTGTTTTTAAATTCATCACCAAAGACAAATAAAAACATAGCCTTAGTGAGCTTTTGGAAGGGTTTGCTCAGAGGGTGGTCATGAGTGGTCATTTGGTCTTCCAGCTTTTAGCCGCAATCCATTTGAGCACCAACCCAAAATGTCTAATAGCGGAACATTTAGGAGAGCTCGCTTGCGTAAGGGGAGCACACTTTTGGTACGTGTGCAAGTTTTGAATTGTGTAAACAGGTTAAATCCAGTAACTTCTTTTAGATGATGGAAATATAATCTGGATGATAATAAGGATGTAGTTGTGTCGCAGTAATTTACCTTAACACCTTAACTTTGATGAATGAACTTTGAGAACAGCTTGGCTACATTTTTGAGACAACAGCCAAGTGACTGCAGAAAAAACACGATGAGTGCTTCCTGACCTTTAAGATGAAACCTTCAAATAGGCTTTTGCTTTATTTTTTTCTTACATCTGAAAAAGTGGACTCATATAAGAATCTTTATCTGTGGTTCAAAGGTCAGATTTCTGTCAGTGATAGCAGCCTGGTATCATAAAGGCCTTACATTGTTGACCAGTAGGTCAATATAGGATTACATTTTTAGAGATAACCTTGTACAAACTGATAAGGAAGGTGAGGATTTGCTTGACGAATGGATCATTCTGAAATGATCCATTCTGAAATAGGAGCACGGCTTTGAGGGTAGATGCCTAACTTTTATATCTATTAGTCAAGAGTGAAACTTTCAACAGATCAAAGCCCAAGAAAGCAACTGGCACAGACCAACTATCAGTGGCTGTGCTCACCCAAGGTGGCTTTCATGCAACAACCACCTCTGCCTGTTGTCTTCAATTGGAAATATGATTGGTTTTATCACTTTACTATGTCTTATAATTGTGGAATTGTTATCAAAGGTAATTAAGGAATACTTTTTATCCATGTTTAAAAATTCTGTTTGTTAATAACAGCTTTAATTGCATTCATTTTGTGTCAGATTGCTTCACATTCTAAGAACCAAAGACTATCTCATATTTTTGTTTATTACACAAACACATGTCAAATGCACAGTGAAGCTTACTTTGGTTCCAGTCTACAGTCAAAATGCTTTATTGATTGGTTGGTATTATAAGATCGTTGCTAATCTAAGACTTACTGAAAGTCCGAGTCGTTTTTGTGATGCGTGTAATCCATCATGTCGACGCGCATAAATTCCAAGCTATGCTACGGCACTGAGGCAAAGGGTCTATCTGCCTCTCAGCCAGATTGAATGTTTTAATGAAAACATTCAATCTGGGATAATAAACATCCTCGAGCAATATTTTAGTATGTGTTTTTATGCAGTACATGGTACATATGCTATGTTTACTTTGTCACTGTAAGAAGCATAGCATGCTCTGTATTT